TTTTGAGTATCTCCATCCTTGCATTTCCTCCCATTATTTTTTCATTTTTTTTTTTATCTTCTTACTTTATTCTCTACTCTTTAAACTCTTTGTATGGTCCTCTTCTAGCCTTCACTGCACTTATGAAACATGATTAAAAATACCCTCATCAGGCAGCTTCTTTCTTCATTTCTTTGGAGTGTTTTACATCTTGTTTTCAAAGCTAAAAAACTATATACAATATATATATATATATATATGCATACACACACAAACACTGTGATGTTTTATTTAAAATACAGATTTTTAAAATCAAGTATGCATTGACCCCCTTTAGTTCATGCTACTATTTTAATTAATGTGTTAATTTTGGCAAAAAATGCCCCAGTTAATTTTAGCAAGTGGTATTTGAAATTGACTTGAATTAATGATCAGAATAGTAAAGGAATGAAATATCAGAGAGCCAAAGTTATAGGTGAAAGAAAAACTGATGATTAGTAAAAGTTAATAAATCAAAGGGTTGTTTAATAAAGGAATGAATAAGTAAATGAGTGACTAGTTAACTCCTTACTATACATCCCCATCCTAGTGTTATCTGAATGTCCCTGAGTCTGTATCATGTTTAGATAATGTTAGTGATTTTTATCAAATAAAGGATTGGGTTTAAACTATTCTGTTGGCAATTTTTGAAAACTGTCTAGCTAAAAATAGTTGGGGTTAGGTAGAAGAATCTGATATAAAATCTTTTCTGTCCAGCTGTAAGACACATGATAGAGAATTCACTAGTAATTTGGCAAAAGTAATTTCTGTTCCTTTAAATGGGATAGATGATTGTATATGATTTAGAAGTTAATAAATATTAACTTCTTAGGTTTATTACAAGTGCAGGTGGAAACAGGAATGTGTTTGTCTTAGTTGTTATTTAAACCATATAATCTTTTTTTTTCCCACTTGATCTGAGGTCTTTGGCAGAAGCAGATACCTGTCAACTGCTACCTGTAAAAATTAATAAAGACTTCACATGGAATTGCAAAAGAAAGCTGTGTGTATCACATCATTTACACTATGAGCAAGTCTGCTCCTTTCTTTTGATGTTTCCAAGTCATCATGTGTTTTACTAGGTTGTTTTATCAAGAAAGAGGGTGGTTGTCATTTAGGGCCTTGTACTGTAAAGACAGGTAGTGGTGATGAAGGTTATAAGACAACTTGAAAAACATTGAACTAGTACTTAGATTGATTTATTAACAGTGTGTATAAGCAATGTCTCTCTCTATAATATGGCTGTGAGTAAGTTAGAGCTGTGGGAATTAATGTCACCAGAGAGAATTCTCTTCCCAAGTTCCAGTTAGAGAGGAAAGATTTTATAGAATGGGTAAGATTATAGTAGGTATATGAGTAAAAGAAGGGGAGACATCTGGAAGAACTGGGAACCCAAGAAGGGAACCCTGAATATGCCAATGTGGATCTTCATTATAATGGAAACAACAAGGAAAGAATATGCAATTTTTGTCTTCTATTTCATTGTTTCCTTTTCTCCCCAAAGATTGTTTGTAGAGAAAATGCTTTGCTTGCTTTTCATTATAATTCATTTTAATGATGAAAATTCCTAGTTGCTAAAACTGCCATTTTAGCATTTTGGGAAGATTCCCCAGGAACCCCTGAGCTGGGTAAGCATTCATCAAAGAATTGAAAAATATGATTAAAATACAGTCTAAGCTCCTCTTATTCAGACTGCATAGTAACTGTTTAAAATGTCATTCCTGTGGGTCCTGTTTCTCTTCTGCTCAGTAGTGGTGGCTCTAAGCTCTTTTCTTCCAAAAAAAATCTGTGGTTCTTGAGTGGTGAGATTCTACCTGCCCACAGTAGAGAAAGAATTGGGCTAGTGCCGAATGAAAAAGATAGCCTGCCCTGTCTTATGCACTAACAAAACAAATTTCAAAGATTAAAAATTCTTGTGTTCTTCGTGGTGGTCTATTTGAAAAGGCCAAGTTTTCAGATTGTTTCGGGTGGCGAATTTCTCTTCCTTTGATGCTAGACAGAATGACTTTTTCATGCAAGGTTGCCCAACCCATCCTGTTTATACAGGGTGATCCTTTACTTTGATTTATTGTTCTACCTCCATGGGTGTAAAGACTGAGATTTATCTTTTGATGCATATGGCAGGTTTCTGAGTCTTTGGAACAGGATGTCTAGAAGTTGCATTCAACCCAGAGTTGTTTGGTAGTTGGTAACCTGGAAACCTAATTGCAACAACAAGTCATCCAAACAGTTATTCTTCTGAGTGCTCATAATGAAAGTAATACCAGGAGGGATCAGCCAGGAATTGACTAGACAGCTCTTGCAAACAAAACTGGCTTCAGGTTTATGCTTATTGCTAATTGAGTTACAGTAATTCTGAAGCCAGTTTAGTGGAACTTTTTAAAGAATAATTCCCTAGTAATGTGTTCCCTGGAGATTTTAGTTGGGACAAATACTGAATGAAGCATTCTTTTTCATTTGAACGTTAAAGTAGCTGTTTTTTTTCTTCTTCAATGTTTCATGAGATGTAAGCACTATAATTATGGAAAACACAACAGTGTGGAAATTTAAACATAGGCAAGCCCCTCCCCATATTTTAATCTTTCACATCTTCATTTTGGCATTATCAATATAAATGCTAGTGGAACAGGTGATAGTGCAGGGGTGACTTAGAGTTTCTTGTGGACCTATTTTTTGTCATCTCATAGATTATTTGTGTTGAATGTAATTAGGCATCTTGTTGTCAAACCTAGAGTTCCAGTTTTGGGTTGTAGAAGATATCCCTGTCCAGTATCCCATTCTGTTGAGAACATTAAACGGCAACTAGTGTTAAGTTTTGCCGAAGTTGTCTGTTTCCACATATAAGTTGTCTAGATCCTTATTTCTACATTATCACCATTCTTCTTTACCTTTATAATTTGGGGATTGCAGGGTAAAAATGAGAAGTTAAAATGAATCAGAAATCCAGTGATATTTTTTCCAAATACTCTTTCAATTAGACTAAGTTGATGAGAAATTTGATTTCAGTTTGATTGAAATTGTTTTTCTGTTTAATATGATAAGTTTCACTCAGGAAAAACAAGCAGATTTGACAGTGTTTCCAAAAAAATCTGTGTTTTGTGCAGAGGGAATAAGGGTAAATGTTCTTCTTTGATTATGCTATTTATTACTTTGTATATGTCTCCCTCTAACATTACATCTTCCTGCATTTTGAGTACCTAAACTTACTTAGCCTTGAATTATCTCTCGAAACATTAATTTATATGCTTGTATTAGTAGGAGCCATCTCTGTGTGTGATTTTTTTTTAAAAAGATTTATTTTATTTATTTATACAAGCACTGGGTACAGTCAGAAGCGCGGGAGGGTGAGAGAATTCACCAGAGCCAGAGGGGAGAGCAGAACAGGCAGACTGATGAAATACACTGCTGAGGGGAGCAGCGGGCGGCAGGAGAGGTCTGCGCACCATGTGGGACCCTCGTCCGGTGGCCGGGTATCGAACCGGCACTGCAGAGGCTGCGGGAAGCTTGGCAACCCAGCACTCAACTGCTGCGCCACTGGAGAGGCCCCGTGATTTGTTTTTTTGTTTTTTTTTTTTTTTTTTTTGAGTGCTTCAGTTGAACATTATTTACCATTGAGAGATGGCATGACATGGTAGAAAAGAACATAGATTTTGGAACAAAAAAACCCCTGAGTTTCAGCGCATATTCTGAGACCTAAGTACTGTTTCCTCATTGAAATTTGGTTACAACTGTCTTGGAGCTATAGTTATCAAGAAATATTAAGTGAAAAACCTACCATATATCAGATGCTGAACTGGATGAGAAATGACAAAAAAGAAAATGTGACCCTTACTTTCCAGGGAATAACTTGTTGTCTAACAGGAATAATAGACAGTAATGGTAATTAAATGTGATAAGTACACTTGTAGGTGAACCCAATGTTAATAAAAATACCAAAGGAAATGCAGCAAATACTAAATGGCAAAGAGATCAGAGAAAGGATACTTCAGAGAAGAACTGGATCTTGATAAATTAGTTGTTCAATAGACATATTGCAGGCAAGGTGGAAGGTGATGAGCAAGGACATAGAAGCATAACATTTCATAGCTGTGTTGGCCACTAGTTTGGCCAACAGACCTCTGGGGCTCTGATCCCAGAAATATGCTTTGGCTGTGGCAAGATTCCAAAGCAGTGGTTCTCAACTCTTAGAATATTCAAACTACACAAATTCTTCCTCTGCCCAAAGGTATTCAGATACAAGTTATGGCCTGAAATAGTTGAATTCACAGGCATTGCATATACAGATGTGCAGAGCATAGCTAGTTTAATATCCTCTGTAGTGTGCTTTACAGGAATCTAAACTCTTTAATACCTGGAGATCTAATAACTGCAAAGGTTCACCTACACAGGGGAATCTACTTTAAAATTCTCAGTTGTTACAACTTAGTGCCAATAGGCCAGGGATTTAGAAGTACTCTGTGACCTGAGCAGAATAGCTTGTCAAGTTTCTATATATATATATATGAAGGCGATATGATTGTGGAGAAAGTATTCCCCTCTGGTTATTGAACAACTACCATTTATTAAACATTTTTTGATATGTAAACTACTCTTTTTCATTATCAGGGAATTCATAATCCACTCAGACAGTAGTCTTTATTTTCTTTCTTGGAGATGGAAGAACACTAATCTAGATCTCATTTCCTTGTGCTTACATCTTAGCCATCCACACATGCTGGGCATTAAAGTGTAAATTAAGCTAAGTGCATATTAAGCAGAGACTAATAAATGCAGGGAGGAAGACAAATGAGCACATTTAAAAGACTTTCAAATATTTTATTTAAAGAATACTCATTTTATTCATTATAAGCTTGTAATGTTAAGAGACTGATTAAAAGTAGAGAGCTACAGTGAAAACTAATTATATATATGAACTTCAGATACATCACGGGCTGCCAGTTGCTGAGGACCCTGAAGAATATTAGTAGAGATTAGTTTCAAAGATGGTGGAGTACGTGCAAGAGCCTTGCCCCTGGCGAATTGTGGATGATTGTGGTGGGGTCTTTATCATGGGTATGTTAAGTGGTGGTATCATTCAAATAATTAAAGGCTTCTCCAGTTGTAAATGGGGAATAAACCACAGATTTCATGGCAGTTTGACAGCTATTATAACCGTGTTGCCACATTTAGAAGGTAGCTTTGCAGTTAGGGAAGGTCTATTTTCCATGAATGAATGCAGTATGGTTCAAATCAGAGAGAAAGGAGATCCCTGGAATTCTGTTACAGGTGGTGTCTTCTTTTTTTTAATAAAGATTTATTTATGCCTACAATAACTGGGGTACAGGCTAGAGGTGCAGGAAGAGGATTCACCAGAGACAGAGGGGAGAGCAGAACAGGCATATCTACTGAAACACACTGCTGAGGGGAGCAGCGGGTGAGACAGTAGAGGTCTGTTGCGCCATGTGGGTTGCTCCCTGGTGGGCTGGGTATCAAACTAGTGCTGCAGAGGCTGAGGACGTGTGGTGTCTTAACGGGAGCTATATTGACAGCAAGAAATGGACCAGTGAGCATGTCTGGGTCAGCCACAGTTGGGTCCTTTGCAATGGGTGGCATTCTTCTAACATTAGTTGAAGGGGCTGGTATCTTATTGACAAGACTTGCCTTTGCATAATTTCCCAATGGTCCTCAGTTTACTGAAGACCCCTCTTAGTTGCCTTCCACGCAGTTACCATCCTCATCCTTTGGAGATTATCAACAACATCAAAAGAATTTCTTTCCCAGGACTTCTTGAACCGAATAAGCTGCAGTTCAAGAATTTCAGAAGATCAATTTAGTTTGGTTTGGTTTTAAAAGCATGTATGGGGCAACTATGGCCAAATAGTTTGTGAAGAGACAGATAGCACCTTTTTCTAGTTAAAGAAACTTGGAAAGTGGAGCAGAAGGGTGTGTGTTAAAAGATCATGCATGTATTTATTCACATTTGGATGGCATTTGTGATCAAAATATATCTTTGAAAGAAAACACAGTAAGTGCTTAGAAGATAAATGAATAAATAGGCAAACAGCAGTGAATTATGACTGTTATTTCAGTGGGGACTTCTCTGCCTGGTTTCATGTGTTCTGACAGTCAAACAAGAAATAAAAAACATTTGGAACTTGCTTTCTTTTAAGATAAGTTGTAGAGCTCTGGTTTTCATCCCCAAATGCTTCAAGTAATACAAAGTACATTGAAAATTGCATGTTTTATTGCTAGGCCCTCATCTCACTGGAGATAAATTATGTATAAGAAGAATTGTGCCGAATTAGCTTGGATCATTCCACCATAAATACTTCATGGGTGGAAGGCTAGGATAAGATACATATCTTGGCTTTGACAATAAAATATGCTTTGTCTTGTTTTTGAGGATGATAGAAAACTCTTCTTACCTTTGAGACTACCGTGTTTGATTCTTGTTTCCTGATCATCAGAAACCTCTCCAGAAACAACCTGCTTCCAGTGCACCCAGTTCTCTATAAGAACAACTCATGGTGGGCCTCCCTGGTGGTGCAGCGGTTGAACGCTGGGTTGCGAGGCTGCCCGCAGCCTCTGCAGCGCCAGTTCAATCCCCGGCCACTGGCGAGGGTCCCACACAAAAAAACAAAAAAACAAAAACACCTCATGGAGGGGAAGGATAGAAAAGTTTGTTGATTGTGTGGTCGAAAATAAAACATGTGCTGTTTTTAATGTGAAGGAAAGATGAGTTTCAAGTAAGTAGGATTCACAAGGAAAGTGTCAACAGAATGAAGACAAAATGCTTTTGCAAAGTTGGAAGATCTTAGGATAGAGAGTCAAAATTTCTGGGCTGGGTGAGGGTTGTCCTAGGACCTCGTCTTCCTCAGCTGTGACTTGATGCCAACAGTACTCATTGTGGGGGGTAAGGGGAAATTGCATGTTTTATATATATAAAAACATATATATGATATGTTATATATTTATATATATTTGTATTATATATTTTTATATTTTTATATATATATATATATATGCTTCATTAGTAATTGCAGGCGATCAGAGCACAAAATTTCCTTCTTCCTTCTTTTCCTTCCTTCCTCCTTCCCGTTTTCTCAGGCCTCTCTCCCTTTTCCCTCCTTTTTTACCTCCCTGCTGCCTGTCTACTCTCTTTTTCTTCTTCTCTCTCTCTCTCTCCTTTTCTTTTCTTTCCGTCCTCCCTCCCTTCCTTTATTCCCGGACTCCCTCCTCCTCATTATCCCTCCCTCCCTGCCTTCCCTCCTTCTTCTTTTTTTTTTTTTTTAAAGATTTATTTATTTATGCAAGCACTGGGTACAGTCAGAAGCGCGGGAGGGTGAGAGAATTCACCAGAGCCAGAGCGGGGAGCAGAACAGGCAGACTGACCAAGTACACTGCTGAGGGGAGCAGCAGGCACGGCAGGAGAGGTCTGTGCGCCATGTGGGACCCTTGCCTGGCAGGCGACCAGAGATTGAACGGCGCTGCAGAGGCTGCAGGCAGCTTTGCAACCCAGTGCTATACCTCTGCGCCACTGGGTAGGCCCCCTCCTTGTTTTTCTTTCTCTTTCTTCTTGGCAGTTCATGTGAAACTTGATCAACAATTAAAATTCTATGTTCCGGGGCCTCCCTAGTGGCGCAGCGGTTAAGCACTGCATTGCGAAGCTGCCCGCAGCCTCTGCAGCGCCAGTTTGATCCCCCGCCTCGGGGCGAGGGTCCCACACGGTTCGCAGACCTCTCCTGCCACCCGCTGCTCCCCTCAGCAGTGTACTTCGGTCCTTCTGCCTGCTCTGCTCCCCGCTTTCTCTTTGGTGAATTCTCTCACCCTCCCATGCTTCTGAACTTTAACCCAGTTTCTGTATAAATAAATAAATAATTAAGCTTTAGAACAACCAAGACTCAAAAAAAAAAAAAAAAGAATAGCAAAGTTGTGAGACTGAAAAATCATTTCCAGTCCTTTCAGTATCAGAAATATAAAAAGTCAGTGTGATTCATTTGTTTGTTTTTGGTCAACAGGCCTTGATAGTATGCTAAGGTGTAAACTCTGCTATAGGCTGAGATGCGAATGTGATAATGAAGAAGAGAGAAACAAAGTGAGAAACATTTTGGATTTTCTCTAGTAATTTATTTAAAAAAAATAATAAAATCCATCTGTAGGGTAAGGTAAAAAGTATCAGGCTTTCTTCCCTCCCGCCATTAGGATAGATGAGGGAACCCTGTGGACCCGAATGCATGCCTGAGGGCGGGCACCTGGAGTAGGGTGTGGGCATGCGTAGATGGGATTCACCTGGGCTGAGAGACTAGGCTTATAAGGGCGGCATCAGAGGGACGCTAGCAGAAGCAGAGAAGGAGAGAAGGCCGGAGAGCCCAGAAAGAGTGAAGACTTGCTGGGGGCTGGGAGGCCTGCCAGGTGCCTGGTAAATCCCAACAAAAGCCTGAAAAGCCCACTGAGGGATCCAGGACTCCTCCTTTACCCAGTCTGCTGGATCAGAAAACCTGCTCTGTCCCTTCCTGGTGTTACACCATTGTACTTGCTAAATGTGCCTTGGAGTTATAGAAAATTTTGTGGAATACTTTTGTTGAAAACTTTTGGACTAGAACACAGTGCCAATATAACAAACCTTTGATTAATTGTCGGCACAACAACGTGTAGATTTGGCAAGACTAGGAATCCCTTGTGATACCTTCAAAACACAAGGACCATATAATCTCGGGACCATATATTACAAAGCCCCATTGTCTTTGCAGGTGGGAAGCAGCATCTATGTTATCCTTCCAAGGTGGAATGTTGGTTAAGATTTCCAGAGTTACTTCACAAGATAACATTCCATGCTGCTTTTCTTATCACCAGGAAGATTTTTTGATGTGCTCACATACTGTAGTGTAAAAGTTGTTTATGGAGTATCTAAAGATGGTGGCCTAAAAGTGAGTGTCTTTTTTTTAAATATTTTATATAATTCTTACATCATTTTTCATTTTTGCACAATGTATGCATTTTCATTTTGGTTATATTCCCCATACAATTGCATCCCCCTCCTTATTTTGACTCTAGTTCTTCCTCTCCCATCCCTCCTTAATCCCCCCCCTCTAGAGTGTCTCTGGTTTGTAGTTGCTTGTTGATTTTGATTATTACTTTGCATTGATTAGTCTTTTTCCTGGTCCCTTATTTAGGTTTTCTAAATTCCTGCTATGAGTGAGACCATCTGGTATTTTTCTTTTTCTTTCTGACTTATTTCGCTGAGCATGATCCCTTCCAGCTCCACCCATGTTGCTGCAAATTACATGTGTTTATCTTTTTGGATTGCTGAGTAATATTCCATGGTGTATATGTACCACATCTTCTTGATCCAGTCATCTATTTTTGGGCATTTGGATTGCTTAGATGCAAAGGATCATTATGTGATAAAGTACAAGTCTTGCTCCTTATTCCTAGAGTGTTGAGTTTGGACCAACTCACCGGTTTTGAATTACTCCAAGAGGAAGGGTTCAGGGACTTTGAGAGACCTTCAGCGACCTCCTGATTCCAAAGCTTTCTATCATAGTTTGTTATATTTTTATTTATTTTTTTTACTAAGACTTTTCATGAGTTTATAGCAGAGCCATTTGTTTCATACAAATTAGTATGACTTTTGAAATTATATAATTTTCTTCTTTTTAATATATATTTTACATCATTTTTCATTTTTGCACAATGTATGCATTTTCATCTTGGTTATAATCCCCATACAATTCCCACCCCGCTTATTTTGACTGTAATCCCTGCCCCCTCTGCCATAGTGGTCCAACCACTATGGAGAGCTGTGTGGAGATTCCTCAGCCTGCTAAAGATGGAGCTTCCATATGATCCAGCAATTCCACTCCTAGGTATTTACCCAAAGGACACAGAATCATTAATTCAAAAGGGCACCTGCGCCCCTATGTTTACATCATAGATGTTTTAAAGAGGTGTGGGGTTCAGTGAGTGGGGTCCTTGGGATAACTGAGAAATGTTTCACCAGAGTACCCCTTTCAGCAGAACACAGGGAGTTTACCCATGAGGCAAAGACTTTGGGTTTTATCCAAAAGGAAGGTTTATTATATTAAAACAGGAAAGAAGATGACTTTGGTAGGAAGAGCTGCTGCTGCTGCTTTGCAAAGGGAAAAGGTTTGTGAAAAGAAACACCTGCATAGTCACAGGGAGAGAAACACTTGCACAGCACTCTGGTAGAGCTGCATCTTGCCAGTGCAGAAATTGTCCTGATGTAGTAAGTAGTGTTCTTTTGGGAGGGGTTCATTCCTTTGTAGAATCATTATCTGTTACTAAATTAATTCTGGGGTATGGCTATTTTGATTTGTGAGGACTGGTGACTCTGTACAGTGGCCCTCAGTTTCCACATCCCTACCTCTGGTCGGCACCTCCAGATACTTTCTATGGCAGTCTGATACCTGCTATAGCAGTTGCCCCTAAGGATTTTTCATTTCTATGCTTGGTTTAACAACTATGTTAACCATTTCCACCCCCACCTCTAGTTGTGGTCTTGCACACCTGCATCCTGAATTTTCTACTCTTGGCCTCCGTTGGTAGACAGATTGGGAGTAAGATGAAATTGACCTCACTTAGTTGTATTTGATGTGAAACCCTTCCTTCTCTCTCTTATGTTATCTTTTAATTTAATTAAACTCTTTTAGA